CTCCCCTGGGGACGTTTGAAGGCCTTGGTGTGGCCGGGTATTTTTAATTTACCTTTCCACCAATTGTTTTTATTTGTTTATGTACTAGTTTGTATGTTCTTTATATTTCTCAGGAATTTGTGGTTTTTGAGTTGAATAATATATATTTTTTTCATTATTGAATAATATACAATATAAAGATCATATCTACATCAATTTAGAAGGGAATTATATTATATAGTTTATATTTATTTTTATATACCACATTATATATAGTTTATATAATTCTCAGTAAACTAATTTTTCATATCACCGAGCATGAGCCGTTTACGGGCTAATCATGCCCGTGCCACCTTTTAGTGGCTTAATTTTCATCAATCATGAGCCGTAAACCCCAAATATTATACTTGATCCTGCCTCGCAAGAACTTCAATATTTTGTCTACTGAAAAACCCTCCTGCCTGCCTATCCATACACAAAAAATTAAACCAGAAAGTAGTATAAGTGGACTGTTCCCGGTGACATCTCTGTACCAGGCAGCTGATAGAGATGTGTTAAAGATGAATGTGTCTCACGAGATTCTGTTTTTCCTATTCTGTTCATAATTCTTTGTTTTCAACCAGTGCTAGCTGGCCTGTTGATATTTAGGCTTTTTAAGGTGTTTTAATGATGGAGTGGAAACACTGCTCTGATTAAGTTTATATTACATGGTGACTTAGAGTTTTTAAGTGCTTAGAAAGACTTTTGATATTAGTGTTAACCATTACAATGTTTGGTATAAGCATAGAGGACGGTTTGATGGCAAACTTTTTGGTTTGAAATGTGGAGGCATTGTTAGTCATTCTGACTAACCTAGCGGAACAAGTGTGGGACAGGAGACTAGTTGGGAGGGTAAGGTGTAGGAAGGAAGAGATGGGAGAAAGCACTGTGGAGAAGGGGATGTTGGGAATAGATAGGTTATTGTTTACGAGAGAGGGGAGGGGGTGCAAGTGAAGTTTTAAAAGTAACAAAATCATCTGGTATTATGTGTGTGTATGATATTTACAATATGATGTCAACATATTCTTGAACTTGCGATGAAGATTGCAAGTGTTAATGACAAATTATCTGAACGATTTGAACATAGATGTGTTGTTTCCGTTGTAAAAGCAGGTAATCTGGGCGAATAGCCTGGTCTCCGTCAAATTATCAATTGCGACTTGTTTTTCATCTGAGATTGCAGAGGCTGCATTACGGCAAGACGCTAATGGTGAGACGCGTGTGTGTACGTGTGATAATTTCACCCTCCAGGTAAGTAGATCGCTGACGACTCGCTTACACCCAGTACACATTATTAGAGCCAATTTAAAAAAGTTGTTAAGAAAACATCCAGCGCACAAAAAACGGGTTACACAAGAGTTCAACAGTGATGCTGTATTGAATGACTGGGCTAACCTCCCTGCCTTAGTTGTTCTTTTCATTTACTTAACCTCACTTGCATTTAAATCAACCTGTCCTCTTAAAAAGAACGTCGCTTTTGGCCGTTTGCCCGTATGGCCGAATTTGGACGTAATTTGAAAATGAAAATAAATTTGGGATTTTTTTTTTCAACAACAGTAAGTTAAGGGTCCTCTGATAGGTTAGGTGGGCAGGAAATTCTCATAAAGTTTCAAAACGTTATGAAAAACGTTAATTTAAAGTGTCCTCTTATAACCTCTGCGCGTACGCCGGACGACTCAAATAGAAAACGGAACAGAACGTCACTTTTGTGAGTCGATTTCATTTCAAATTACGTCCAAATTTGGCCATAGCGCGCATACGAGCGAAAAGTGGCATTATTTTTAAGAGGACGGGTTGTTTAAATTGCCGGTGAACCAGAATCAGTACGTGATCCTGGCGATGTGTCACAAACGGGCCAATGTTCCTTACTACCTGTTATAATGTTCTGTTGACAAACTCGGTGTCGGTAAGGTATTTTTTTGAGTACGAAGGCTGCATCTACTCCTAAAGCATATTGCTTCAAAGTAACATACATTTTCAATAAGGATATTTCTATATAGCTATTATAATTATACGATTTATTCGATAATTACTTTGAAGGAAGAGTTGACACCATGGATTACCACACGACTAGTGTCTAACTATGAAGGCACAGTAGCGTCTACGTCCTCTGGTGACCAATCGCGGGGACTTGGGTCAATCTCCGTTCGAGTCAGAAACAGATGGGCGCGTTTCCTTTTTTCATCTTGCAGTAAAATAGTTACCCGAGGGTGAGGCAATTTTGTGGGTTTCATACTAAGAGAAGGTCCGTAGTCGGCCTAGGGAGAAGCGTAACAAGGCTTCCTGTTCCCAAACTAAGGTATTTTTTTTCTGCATTCCACGACGGAGGCCTGTCGAGCGAGGCTCACCTCATTTTACCTCATATCCACCACTTGCGTCGTGAGATATAAATTAAGCTCTTTGTGTCTGTCTTTAGATGCTCCAAATGCTTCGTTAGTAGCTTAGACCATGTTAATTAGATCAGAAATGGTTTCAATGTTTCGCTAAATGTGATGACAAAATATTATCTTTAATGGTGTTAATTTGATGCAATCAAGCGAAGATAGGTTACAGAGAGGTCAACAACTTGTGTGTCATCATTGCTGCAAGAGATCAACTTCAGCCCCGCCCTCTTTCCTAAGTGGCAGGTGTAATTGGCAGAATTGGAGGTGGTTTTTGTCATGAGACGGAGAGGGTAAAAGATGGAGGCTTGGAGAAGAATAGGTTTGGAGATGGAGACTGAGAGTTGGAGATGCTAGCTTGGGAAGTTAGGACAATGAGATTATTTTTATTTTTTTTAGATTTTTAGATTTTTATTTTTTTTTTCCTCGGGGCAGCAAATCCTGGAAACCCGTGCGCGTATCACGAGGGCAACCCATCCTACAAATTGACAGTACTAATTGTAATAAGTGCATTTTCTTGGTGCCATAAATAGTACATAATTGCACTTATGGGTCTGTTACATTTACCTCCCATTTATTCTCCTCGTTTTCTATTAAGACTCAGAATTATGGTATGAAATTTTTACTTCCAATTAACATTACAAAAGCGATCACAATTCATCACAATCGACTTGAGAATGGTCCAGGACGGACCGAAACGTCGTTGTCCCTTCAACTTCTAGTGTGTAGTCTGGTCAACATTTCAAAAGTTTTAAATATCAGGAATTTCTCTTTCAGTTTTATTAAACAATAGAGATTTTATACAAATTAAAAAAATATCCTGAGTTACTTTAAAATTTATTGATATATTTAAGTTTGGTTTTATTAGTTTTATAAAACTGTAATATCAATATAGCTATAGCTTAGGTACTAATTGTAATTAAGAAGCAATAAAATGCTTATCTTCAAACACTAAAGAAAGTTAGGGAAAGTCATGGTTTTCTATTCAGCTTTTCAGGTAAACTCAAATATTCACATTATATTTGATAGTGCGATTTAATACTAAGTGAAAATAAGTACAATTCCTGACTGCTATGAATAGTACATAATTGCACTTGTGCTGTTACATTTACCTCCCCATTTTTGGAGGACGGGCTGCACGGGGGCCATGATATGTTCAGATAGTGCCTAAGAGTTTAGAAGGCACCATCCAGTGCCTCAACTTACTTTTGACGAGGTAACCGCTCACACTCATTCCCGTAGCTGTAAAAAATAAGCAAATCGAAAGCTTTGAACAAAAAAAACTTGAGGAATAAACTTACTGTAATACTAAAAAATATATCTATATATTAAGCACTAAAAAATAGTCCAGGCAACTTTGTCACATTTTCCTTTATCTCGTGTGTCATCGCTGTTGTGTTTGAACGGCTTTTCAGATTTTGATGAAAATGCAATAATTGCTTATTGATAACATTTATTGGAGTCGATCAGAATTTTGCTCAAATCGAATATAAAATCTGAGCAGTTTGATGAGATTCCGATATATTTCTTCTGAAATTCTTGTTTTCTTTTGGAAGGGGGATAAAATTGTTGCAAATTATAAGAAAAATTATAATAAAATTCCCTGAGTTTCTTAGTAGTTCTGCCTACTTCAGAAGAAACCTACTGAAATGTTCAACATAATATATGATTCTTGGGTAATTTATAACATTTCTTTCAGTTCATGGGTTATGCATTTCGTACTTGAAATACATACTTATAGTTGAAGACTTTTCCTTTATATTTTTACTAAAGTGTACAAGCAATTGATTTGTAATCATTACACCAGATTCTATGTTCATTACCAATTTGATTACCTTTTCTTCACAGTTGATGTACGATATTGCTAGATTAGAACAGGGTATGTTCGGTTAGGTTATGTTGAGTTAGCATAGGCTATGTTACATTAGGTTGGGTTAGGTTAGAGTAGGCAAAATATTAAAGTTTAGACTTTCGATAATTCAAATTTATCATAAGAATACAGAACCGGTCACTGATGTCCTAAATGTGACATCACGTGTTATGCCACGTTCTTGTACGAACCTGATTTATTCGGTTCTGGAGCCTAATACGCCAGCTTCGTTATAAGAAGGTATTCTTTTGGCTTGTATCCAATGAGCGCGGTGCTTCCTGGGTCAACACCCTACCACAAATGAGATCAGTCGATACCCTATCTTCCATATTATCGTTTCGAGGACCGACGTCCCTGCGGCCCGGTCTCTGACTAGGCCTCCTGGTTGGTCATCTGGTCAACCAGGCTGTTGAACGCGGCTGCTCGCAGCGTTATGTATGAATCACAGCCTGGTTGATTAGGTATCCTATGAATGTTAGTGAAGTCAGTTGATACTATAACAGTTTGTAAGGTCAGTCGATAACGTCCCACAACAGATTGTAAAGTCAGTTTTGAATCGATAGTATCAAGAGAGCAGTCTCGCCTTTCAATATATGTTAATCAGTGTAGGTTATAGACTCTAGAACATAAGTTTTATTATGTATAGAATACTGCAACGTTGTCCAAAATAAAAAATAACAAGTTATGGTTTATCAAGCTTTAGGCTGAAAATGTATAATAAAAACAATAAGCAAGCTTGAGCATTTTATTCCCCGGTAATATCTATAATTGTACTTAGCACACCAAAGCAGTAGGAAAGATGAAACCAGTGGTAGATATGGCGGGAGAAGAGAGAGAACACACACACCCAAGAGGCTGCAACACCACAGCTTTCATCCCATGTATTGCTGGCAAAACATGAGAGATCACAACCCAACCAGTCGGGGATACGTTGTTAGAGGAACTTAATCACTCGACGTATTTCAGCTTGGTTTAACGTTATATCAGAAGGTAAACGATGTAGATGTAACAATGATTCAACGGTGTTGATACTGAATTGATTGGACGTTGCTTGAGCATGATTTGCACGCTGGGTTGTTTGCATGATATGATTGTATGTTCGAATCTCTGGAATAAACAGCACGTGTGTCGAAGTGTCTCTGGTGCCTGTAGTAACAGTAAGCAGAGCGTTTTTATATAATATAAATATATTTACAAAGTTTAAATAGTATCTGCAAAAACAGTAGTTTGAAGATAACACGGAAGAAATAGGTTTCAAACCCGAATTATAACAGGAAATTTCATTTTCTTATCCGCAGTCATTATGTAGCCTGTCTAACGACACCACAGTTAAATTAGAAGTACTAAGAGCCGTATCACATGTGTAATAAATTACTACTAATTATAATTATAGCCTGGAGGTGTTGGAGATGGATAGTTAGCCTCGCCTTCATAGGCTACCTTGGCTACATATCCTTGGTCGCTGTCAGCTCTATAGGAAACAACTTGCTTGCGACTGTCAGGGAGAACTACTGAGTACTCGCCGGTGGTCAGTATTCCATCAGAGTTTGCTCTGTGACTGTAGAAGTTTCCGCTCTTTTCGTCGTTCACAGTATAAGCGAAGTCGAACGGCATCCCTTTCTGTGGACGAGATAAAGCTGACGTGAGGTAATTGCACCCGACAATAGGAAAATATATCATCTTATGAAAGAATAGCAAAATAGGAAATATATCATTAAAATATATTCAATATAATATTCGATATAATGTTGTTACATACAAATTATTGTATATTATACAAGATATGATTGAAAAATGCCGAAAATTAATATACACAGAAGCATTATCTGAGTACAGAAAGTATAAGTATACATACTGGACGGAATTCCCCACTAATGCGTACATTATCTGAGGATATACCTTAGGTGTGACCACTCGAAAATTAAATCTCATTTAGACATAAATCCCCAGCGTCAAAATATGATGTACTTCAAATCACAGCGGCTCGCAAAATTGCAGGCTTTCAAGTTTTCTATTCGTGGGGTCCTCGGATAGGTTAGGCTCGGGCAATTTAGTACATTATTTTTGTGACGTGGCTACGCAAGAGGACGGGCTGGGTCAGCAAGCTATTATGGGGTCTTAATAAAACTCTCGTGGTTGAGAGGTTTTAATCCACACACCAAATTGAAGAACTTTTATATCTGGCCTAGGCTTCTCAAGCAATTTCAGGTTAATAGTGCTGTGTAATTATTAACCTGGCATTTGGCAATCCATACAAGAGATATATCTACAGAAAACAGTACACCATTTATTGGTGTATATACAATAAGAATATACTTTGGTCCGAAATCTAATTCTAGGATAAAGTATGCTTGCTGGTTCGGCAGTAACCATTTGTGGTAGCTTTAATAACTAAACAGGGGTTGATGGGTCTTAAAATCAACACCAAACCAATTCTTTCTTTATCCCTTAGCATCTCAAAATAGCGGATTGGTACACCAGAATTCTATAGTATAGACAGATAATCAGGATATTTTGTTCCACAATTCTTCTGTAGGTACTCATGAACAGATGCTTATGGAAAATCAGTTTCACTGTTCAATAATGTGCAACAAATCCATGGTGCTTTGCAGGGCTAAATAATAAAATATGCCACGCGTTATAGTAATAATTTCACTGTTGTTGTTTTAGATTCTGCTACTCGGAACAAAAAGTTTCAAGCAGCACCTATGGTGTAATGGTGTACGACGGGCTATGGTGACCCCGTCGTACTTACCTGGCACAGGAGATGTGCCAAATTTCACTCTTCTACCAACTAAACGGCATTATAAAATAACGAATCATAACACTTTGCGAAGTTAAGTCTTCAGAAACATAGGCAATCATTCACATAACGGGTTCCACTTCTGCAGATCCCTAGTATTGCAAAATACCATTAATCTCTGATTTCATTGCTGACACTTCGTAAGGATACTACACGTCTAATAAATTATATAATAATAAAATGATATACATATTCATACCTGATTATACGATGGACCAGTATTATAGCCAGAAGTTAGCTGCCGTGATTGAAGGGATGCATCTTGTGACGACAGAAGCGAGTTTTGTTTATCAAATGAGCCCGCCACACCACCTGCAACCCCAGACGCTCCATACGAGCCTGTTTGTCCAGTTGAGCCCTGGGAACCTGCATATCCGGCAGAGCCCTGGGAACCTGCATATCCGGCAGAGCCCTGGGAACCTGTAAATCCAGTAGAGCCCCGGGAACCTGCATATCCGGCAGAGCCCTGGGAACCTGCATATCCGGTAGAGCCCTGGGAACCTGCATATCCGGCAGAGCCCTGGGAACCTGCATATCCGGTAGAGCCCTGGGAACCTGCATATCCGGTAGAGCCCCGGGAACCTGTATATCCAGTAGAGCCCTGGGAACCGGCCAGGTTGGTGCCAGTGAATGGCACAGGACCATAGGCAGTGTTGGCTCCCCCGAAGGAGCCAGCTGGTCCCACGCCGCCGGCCGATGCGCTGCCCAAACCAACATTTATGACCTCATTAGAGGATTTGTAAGCTGACGAGGATTCTGATGAGAAACTTGAGGACTCTGATGAGTGAGAAGATGAACCAAAGCTCTGTCTAGGTGCAGTGTAGGATGGTACAGGTGTACCGTACGTTGGTTTAGGTGTAGTATAGGAAGGTTGGGGTGGAACGTAGGTCGGTTTAGGGGTACCATAGGTCGACTTAGGTGGTGTATAAGATGGTCGAGGAGGACCATAGGATGGTTGGGGTGGAACATAAGTAGGTTTAGGGGTACCATAGGTCGGTTTAGGGGGACCATAGGATGGTTGAGGTGGAACATAGGTCGGTTTAGGGGTGCCATAGGTCGGTTTAGGGGGACCATAGGATGGTTGGGGTGGAACATAGGTCGGTTTAGGGGGACCATAGGATGGTTGAGGTGGAACATAGGTCGGTTTAGGGGTACCATAGGTCGGTTTAGGGGTACCATAGGTCGGTTTAGGGGGACCATAGGATGGTTGGGGTGGAACATAGGTCGGTTTAGGGGGACCATAGGATGGTTGAGGTGGAACATAGGTCGGTTTAGGGGTACCATAGGTCGGTTTAGGGGTACCGTAGGTCGGCTTAGGTGGCGTATAAGATGGTCGAGGAGGACCATAGGATGGTTGGGGTGGAACATAAGTAGGTTTAGGGGTACCATAGGTCGGTTTAGGGGTACCATAGGTCGGTTTAGGGGGACCATAGGATGGTTGAGGTGGAACATAGGTCGGTTTAGGGGTACCATAGGTCGGTTTAGGGGGACCATAGGATGGTTGAGGTGGAACATAGGTCGGTTTAGGGGTACCATAGGTCGGTTTAGGGGTACCATAGGTTGGTTTAGGGGTACCATAGGTCGGTTTAGGAGTACCGTAGGTCGGCTTAGGTGGTGTATAGGATGGTCGAGGATGACCATAGGATGGTTGGGGTGGAACATAGGTCGGTTTAGGGGGACCATAGGATGGTTGAGGTGGAACATAGGTTGGTTTAGGGGTACGATAGGTCGGTTTAGGGGGACCATAGGATGGTTGAGGTGGAACATAGGTCGGTTTAGGGGTACCATAGGTCGGTTTAGGGGTACCATAGGTCGGTTTAGGGGTACCATAGGTTGGTTTAGGGGTACGATAGGTCGGTTTAGGGGTACCATAGGTCGGTTTAGGGGTACCATAGATCGGTCTAGGTGGTGTATAGGATGGTCCTGGTGCAGGTTTATAGGGTTTGGGTGTAGTTACGCCATATGGCGGAGGATCGTAAGACGGCCCAGGACTTGGTTGGCCGAAATCAGAGTCAATAGAGGGTAAACCGAAAGCTAGGCCGGCTAGAGCATCGTCAGGAGCGAGACCCACTGGTGGAAGGTATCCCGTGTCAGGCTCCGTGTAGGTGGGCCGGATCTGGTCTAGGTCCTCGCCTGGGAGGCCGAATGACTTGAACGGTGCATCGTAGGTGTACCCATCCTTGGTCTGAGGCTCCGGCTCTGCCCCAGCGTCCGGTGATGGACCAGCCAGCCCCAGGACACTCACCACCGCCCCACTCAACACTACCACCTGCAACACAACACTGTCACTTGCACCACATCACTATCACCTGCACCACAACACTATCACCTGCACCACAACACTATCACCTTCACCACAACGCCCTTACTTGTAACACACTACTATCACCTGTACCACAGCACTATCACCTGTACCACAGCACTATCACCTGTACCACAGCACTATCACCTGTACCACAGCACTATCACCTGTACCACAGCACTATCACCTGTACCACAGCACTATCACCTGTACCACAGCACTATCACCTGTACCACAGCACTATCACCTGTACCACAGCACTATCACCTGTACCACAGCACTATCACCTGCACCACTGCACCACAGCACTACCACCTGCACCACTGCACTACCATCTTCACAACACTACCACCTGCCCCACATCAAAATCATCTTCAACACAACATGATTACCTATAACACAATGCAAATTTCTCATTAATGGAAAATAGCCCGAAAAAGTTCTTTTACATGGTTGGAGGGCTGACTCATCTACTATAATCATCCGCTGAAGCTCGACTCGTTGCTCCACTGTCATTAATAACGGTACTTAATCCCTTTTGGGACAATATACACCCCGAGAGGTACACGTCTTGCTAAGCTTTAGTCTAAAAAAAAATCCCCAAGTTTTATGTTATTTCAATTGCTGGCTTTACCAAATAGCAAGTTTTACCAAATAGCAAGTTTTACCAAATAGCAAGTACTGTATACCTAATTCTGAACAAAATCTTGAACTCAGTTACAATGATGTGCACTAAGTTTATAGCTTTGGATGATTCACACATAATGCTAAATATATTTACATATCAAACTGCACACGCGGATGGAAAATAGATATATATATATATATATATATATATATATTATATATATATATTATATATTATATATATATATATATATAATATATATATATAATATATTATATATTATATATATTATATATTGTATATAATATATATATATATATTATATATATATATATATATATATATATATATATATATATATATATATATATATATATATATATATTATAAACCAGCTTGACTTCTCCATTAGGGAGGAGAGGCCAGAGAGAGAGCTTCTGTACCTGCAGCGCTCTCATGGTGGCGCCAGAAGACGTAGTGAGTGATGGAGCCTCAGTCCCACGTTTATATACTCCATGCTACAAGGCTTTAGGCAACCTGGCTCTCGCAGCGCTAATGTCCTCTTCCCAGTGGCCCCAGAGAGAGAGGGGCAGAAACTTAAACACATTTGGGGAAACAATATACATGTATATGTATAGGTCTCTCAAAGCTTTGAGTGACCTTGCTATGTGTCTCTGTTTTAGGAATTATTTGTAGTCCGCAGTAATCTGATATATAAATTTGATATAGTATTAATTCAAATAAATAACATTTGTTTATGACTCCAACGTGACGGATGATGTACATTGAGTATAATTTAAACCTAAGTCTTCTTTTGCTGACGTCCAGTTTGGGTTGATGTGTCTCGATAAAAATCGTGAAATCTTATGCATTGTTAATACTATTTAGGCATTCTTTATTTATTTATTCGGATATAATAGTATTCATATTTGTAGACATTATTTCTCTGAAGTAGGTCTTTCAGGTCCTACTTTCAAGCGACCTACTGAAGTAGGTCGCTTTGTAGTGAACCCCATTACAAACGTCTTCAGCTACCACTTTACGATATATTTTAATACTCGTATTTTCAGGACGCCATCCACTCCTGGACGGGTTTTGTAGCGTAGTCGGATCTCAACCGAATGGTCCCGGGTTTGATTCCCGAGCAATCTGAAACATTTAGGCCCCTTACTTTAAACCCAGTGTTTCTGTTCACTGACCATGTTATGGGCCTGACAGCTGAGTGAACAGCGCTTGGTATTCGTAGTCCTAAGGTTCGGGGTTCGATCCCCGAACCTTAGGCAATGGGACCTAATGACATCTTTAGGATTTGTAGTCCAAAGATTCGGGGTTCGAGGCAGAAACAAATGGGCAGAGTTTGTTTCACCCATATGCACCTAGCAGTAAATAGGTACCTGGGAGCTAGACAGCTGCTATGGGCTGCTTCCTGGGGATGTGTAACAAAAAGGCGTGGTCGAGGACCTGGCCGCGGGGAAACTAAGCTACGAAATCATCTCAAGATAACCATTAAATAGGTCCCCTAGAGTTAGACAACTGTTATGGGCGCATCTTCGTGTAGCAGTCGTTGGCCTAGAGGGGGGGGGGACGTCAATATACTAAACAATCAAAATTCTTGTTCCCGACAATGGGAAACCAAACAATATTGAGACAGAGTGTTGTCATCTTCTGAGTGACATTCACTAGTTGAGAATTACACTTGAATGACTTGGCAAACAAGCTGCAATGAATTTAATTTTGAGTGATGCCTAGCTTCCATTGTCAAGGTCAACTAAAAGGCATTGCATCATGGTCAACGAACCGCTTAAGGCAATTGAGCACATCACGATTGGTAAGATGATTCTGCCGTATCACTCTTCCAGTAAGGTCACTTTACCTGATCAGTTCCCACAGAGCTCAAGGTATCGTACCAGATACCGGAGAGCTATAGGTACCAGCTACCGCAGACCTCAAGGTACCAGCTGACCAGCTACTGCAGAGCTGCAGGTATGACCAGCTGACCTGCTACCGTCGTTGTTAAAGATTCACTACCTGGAACAAAAAGCTCCAAGGAGCACGGGCTATGGTGAGCCCGTAGTTTCAGCTACAGCAGAGCTGAAGGTACCTGACCAGCTACCGCAGAGCTCATTAAGGGGGTACCAGCTGACCAGCTACCATTGTTGTTAAAGATTCACTACCTGGGACAAAGAGCTCAAAGTAGTACGGGTTATGGTGAGCCCGTAGTTTCAGCTACAGCAGAGCTGAAGGTACCTGACCAGCTACCGCAGAACTGAAGGTACCTGATCAGCTACCACAGAGCTCATTAAGGGGGTACCAGCTGACCAGCTACCGTTGTTGTTAAAGATTCACTACCTGGGACAAAGAGCTCAAAGTAGCACGGGTTATGGTGAGCCCGTAGTTCCAGCTACAGCAGAGCTAAAGGTACCTGATCAGCTACTGCAGACCTCAAGGGAGCAGCTGACTAGCGGGAAAAATTATAGTGACGGAGGTTTGACAATAATGTATCATCCATAAACCTTTACCTTTTGGACTTGATATAGCGTTTTAAGCCATCCTGAAGATTCGCACGTCGAGTTTGTGGTGATTTAGATTCCTAGATAGTTAATAGATAATTACCCGTATCCTAGATATGGGTAATTATTAGTAAAGAACCATTTGCTTCAGTAAAGGCATGAGTACCGATAGGCCTTTATATCTTTTAACACATCTTGAATCTCGGGGAAAACTATTAAATTCCTAAAAAAAATCAAACACCCTGAATATTTAAAGATTGGATGTCTTCAGTAATAATTATATATTAAGTATTCTGACATAATGTAATTCTTTGCATACTTTAAAAATAAAATTAATTACATGTTGACAATTTGCAACTTATAATTACATTAAGTTATACCTGAAACGCTCTACATACTTGGGCTTTATGTAATATAATGCACATGTCTTACGGAGACTCCACTGTATCATATCTCTAATGTATATATTTTATATAAATAAAAGTATCATTATAAAAATTATATTCTTTAGTAATACCAATCAGATGACTGTTGGAATGCGAGAGTGTAGTAGGCACGGCTTAGTCGCTTTACCACAGTGTACTTAATAATTTACTGTTGCTAAGGTGAACACGAAAATATATAAATAATATGATTATAACAAAACCTACTGATGACTGATAAGTTACAAAACAGCTCTATGAAACTATGTGAATGATCGTACAAATATCGACGTGATGGACAAATACAAAGGAGAATTTGGTACTATTCATTGAATAGTCCGACTACATTAGTTATTATAAGTACTTTCATTTTAGGAAGATGGACGGGATTATAATTATTACCATAGTTATTATTCTTATTGGGTAACAAGGCCGTAGCCATGCTACCCAAGTATTGTGTGGTCATAATGTATGTTTATTCTTTTTAAAATATTACATGCCCCCATCACTTAACCCTTACTATTCATAAATCAAATATTATCCTTCAGTCCCAACCCCCCAAAAAACTACCTCTTACGGGCTATTCATGCCCGTGCGATCGTTAGCTGGTGGCGTCTGGTCCCTCGCCGAGACAGCAGGTGCAGGTGTCACGGGTACTGGAGGGGGGGGGAGGTGTGTCTAGATGCAACCCATCCTTCAAATTGACTACGTTTTTATACTAAATGTAATAAGCACATTACCTGACTCACACATAATATATAATTGTACTTATGAGGCTGTTATATTTACCTCCCCATTTATACTCCTCGTTTTCTGTTAAGACAGAATTTTAAGAGGAAGTTTTAAGGGTCAGATTGCTTTACACAAGTTTTAAATATTATGAATTTCTTTTTCAGTTTTATTAAACGATAGAGATTTTATACAAAATTTGAAAAAAATCTTGAGTTTACAATTTATTGAAATATTTTAATTTGGTTTTATTTGTTTTATAAAACTGTAATATCAATATAGCTATTGGTTAAGTAGTAATTGTAATTAAGAAGCAATAAAATGCTTATCTTCAAAAACTAAGACGGTTAGGTTAGGTCATGGTTCTATTTTCAGCTTTTCAGGTAAACTCAAATATTCACAATATATTTGACTATGGTTTAATACTAAGTGAAAATAAGTACAATTCCTTACTGCCATACATAGTACATAATTGCACTCATGGGGCTTTTACATTTACCTCCCCATTTTTTTTAGGAAGGACTGCTAAATATCCATACGTTTTGGGCACGTATTGTTGTTGTTGTCGATGATGTTGGAGCATTAAATAATATAACTGACACAGCATCATCACTGTGTTATGTGTTGCGGGTGTTTTCAAAGTTTACAAAACATTAAATTATAAATTCTATTGAAAATAAAATAAAAAATATTACATTACATCCCATTTTTAATAAATGGCGTGACCCTGATCACCAGTATCATACGTTGGTAAAGGAGCAGGCAGATTACCACCGAGCAGCGGCAGGCTGCTCGGTGGCAGAACAGGCAGCGGAGTACAACACCGAGAGTTGTACTCCGCTGCTCGGTGTATATACCCCTGAGAGTTTACTCTTGAAGAATGTCCAGGACTAAAGTATTCTTGTTTTTTGGCCAGTAAGAACTCTTGTGCTCTTTATTAACTCTCTAGAGTTTGACGGGCCTTAAGCCCAGTACCACCACTACATCCATCACACAAAACCCAACATAACTTACGCCTTCTGGGCAATGGGACTTAATGACATCTTTTGCAATGCACTTGCAAGCAGCTCTTGTAAAATATTGTAATGCAACAAAATGCTTGTTCCTGTTTTCTCTCTCACCCATTGGGTAATCTTTTTCGTTGTGTAATTCTATTAAATGAGAGCTGTGCTCTCAAATAATGAATCGCATTTTGACGTCACAATCAACGAACAAAATATGATGTACTACAAATCACAGCGGTTCACAAACAGCTCCGTTTTCTATGCGTGGGTCCATCGGTTAGGTTAGTTTCGGACAATTTATTAAATAATTTTCTGTCAATTGTGACAACTCGAGAGGACGGGCTGGATCATCACCATGTACAGTATAATTCTGTCGAAAATCAACTTGCATTTTTCAACCCATCCTCAACTAATTCCATCAGCCTAGCGGCTTTTACCATATAAGACTTTGATAATATTGGTAGTGTAGCAGTAGTAGGCATCCATCAGTCTCTAGAGACTATGGAGTTGCACTCTGGTGTCGGCCTGGTCTGGAGTGGCCTCACCAGGGCACAAAGCCAGGGTAGGTTGATTCAGGGGAGAAGCTGTTACCCAGGCAGCAGGTCCCGCCCTCTCCACGGCGCTGAAAGTCTCCAATGGAACGGCATACGCCAATCCGTATGCCTTTATAATGCTGTATAAAAACTAAATTACATTCTAAAGTGGTATGATTATGTTGATTTAGGTGAATTAACAGTATGTAGAGGCAGTTAACGAAACACGTCTCGAGTCATACCTTAGAACATATTCAGGTTGAGGAAAGTTACCAGCTAAAGCAGATTATCGCCAACAAGAGATAATCATATACTACACTTACACAACTCATCCTCAGGCTATGCTCCTCCAGGCTGCGGCGGCCACCAACCCATCCTCACACTATGCTCCCTCAAGATATTTACAGCCTCAAAGATATATTCATCACTTTTAACAATAATTTAGTAAGTGTGGGTAGCAATGTTGAATCTTCCTTAATTATATTCGATGGCGTTATGGTGTCTCATGGCTGGAGCTCCTACACAATGTTTCATGACCTTCTTTTCCGTAATGATATATAATGACAATATATATAATGTTCTTTTTCCATGGTGTAGTGCCTCAAAAGTTTGAGAGGTGTTGCTTCTTGTTCCTGTGTACGTATTATTATTAACATCTTTATTGACAAAATTAATTACAATTTTGCCTAATCTGAGGATTTTGATAGTCTTATTAAATTGAGGTTAATGCTAGTATTCACTGTCACGCAGGACAGAGGGTCATACATAAGGTCTGTGTACGACAGCGTTTTTGGTGTTATAGATATTTCAGGTATACTATGTTCATAAATCCTCAGAGTTAGTTGACCAAACCACATACTAGAAAGTGAAGGGACGACGACGTTTCGGTCCGTCTTGGACCATTCTCAAGGCGATTGTGATGAAGGAAGATTGATGATTGATTGATTAAAGATTAAGCCACCCAAGAGGTGGCACGGGCATGAATAGCCCGTAAGTGGTGGCCCTTTTGAGCCATTACCAGTATCGAGAGATGATACTGGAGATCTGTGGAGGCGTGACTGCATCCTGCGTGACGGGAGATGTCTCCCGGACCAAATGGTGACCAAATGGTGGATGAAGGAAGATTGATTGATAAAGATTAAACCACCCAAGAGGTGCACGGGCATGAATAGCCCGTAAGTGGTACAATTTTTGTTTTCAGTACTCTGAGGTTGCATTTGACCATCAAGCTGTTATCGCGGGGGAGGATACTGCTTCACAGTCTTTATGAGGGTGTCCAGCTGCATGAAGGAAGGAGTTTAAAGGCAATCAATAGGCAAGAGAGAGGTGAGGAGAAGAAAATCTTAGAGGAAGAACCTCTGAGTTAGGTTTCTGGGTGCCTCACCTGCATACTCTTTGTCACAGTTACTACATTATTCCAGTGTAAAGTCATACTGGCGTGACCCTGTTAATTGTTGCTAGTTCTTCTAATAAAGGTGGTGATGATGTAGGTGATAATTCCTATATTGGTTTTATTGCAGATGTGGATAATGTTCGTTGGATATTCTGTTAAAAGAATTAGCCGACGTTTTGATTCTGTATAATCTCGAAATTGTTGATAAGTTGTTACATCATTGCATGAAGGGGACATTCCCTGCTTTTTGTGTTATTTATATGTTTTTTTGTTTTGAGTGCCACAAGAAAGATAAAAAAAATTAGTTATATGCAGAGCTGTATTTCAAAGAAAGCAGAAATTTTAACGATATATATTTTGTGATCAAAATATGCTGTGTCAGATGAACAAAATTTTTAGCAAAACATTAGCTGACAATTCGCCTGTATTCCATATAGTTTTATATATATAAAATACTGGCGACTATTATATAAAATAATAAATTATATATAAAATACTGGCGACCAGACGACTCACTAGAAAATGAAGGGAAGACGACGTTTCGGTCCGTCCTGGACCATTCTCAAGTCGATCGATCTCAAGTTGATTATTCTCACAATCGACTTGAGAATGGTCCAGGACGGACCGAAACGTCGTCGTCCCTTCATTTTCTAGTGTGTGGTCTGTTTGCTAAAAATGTTGTTCATTTGGCACAGCATCATCACTGTATTATGTGTTGCGAGTGTTTTCAAAGTTTACAAAACATTAAATTATAAATTCTATTGAAAATAAAATAAAAAATATTACATTACATCCCAATTTTAATAAATTAGACAAGAAAACAATAATTTCAATATAAAAACTTTTATTTCCCTAAAACTGAGATTGCACAATACTAACAATATTCGTAATGCCTAATGTTCTACAATCGACAATATTTATCCAGTAACAATGAAGAGGTCGATGATTGAGCGAAGCAGAAGACAATATGTCCGTGGGGTGAGATAGATGGGTAATGGGTGCAGTGAGGACACAGACGTGTTATTTCCTAAATAACCACAGTCCATCTTGTCCTCTTAATATTCAGTTTGTAAAAGTTCACTAACACTTAGTGGCACTTATAGATTACACAACTTGGCCTGTATTGAGAGAACACAGTTTGGTGAGACTGCTGACTTTGTGGTCAGCTTACCACAAGACATTTCATTCGGCAATACATATTGGAGTCAACATTGAGAGCAATTTTCTCCATGAAGGCTTAATATAAGAAATCAACTTGAGATATGGAATATGAGCATTTGTTTACCATGTATACCAAACCATAACTAATAACAACGAATAAATTAATTTTCCTCCAAAAGTAATAGGTATAAGATTTATAAGAATGCTATATACCCTAATAAAACGCGAGGTTCGGAAAAAAATTATTAGCAGATTTGAATTGCCTTGTGAAACAACCTGTGGGAATTAGGAACTCGATGCGCCTCTTGTTAATTGTAGGTGTTTAGTGCCTGGGAGGGGTAGCTAGCCTCACCCTCGTAAGTAACCTTGGCTACATAACCCAGGTCTTTGTCGGCCGTGAAGGAGACGATTTGCTTGCGACCATCCGGAAGTACAACTGAGTACTCGCCGGTCGTTAGTATGCCGTCAGAGTTCGCTCTATGACTGTAGAAGTTACCATTGTACTCGTCATTCACAGCGTAAGCGAAGTCGAATGGCATCCCCTTCTGTGGAAGTGAGAAAAAAATTGCGGCTCGTACTCAAGAATTACCATAGTTTACCCTCAAAACACGATAATAAAGAAGTCTATCCTATGTTTTATGTGTACGATAGTGAAGGGTGAAATGGGAAACATAAAAAATGGGTGCCCTAACATCTCACCTTCTGCACGGTTGAAACTCAAGCTTTATCGCTTACGAATCGTGTGTGTGCCCCTTTATACACTACATAATGTAATGATCTACAGTGTGTTATTTATTTTATCTAGTAGAATCTAAATTGTTATGTAATGTATAATCTCCAAGGAGTAACTACGTAATGTATAACTACATAGTAAATAAATATATTTGAAAAATATCACAGGTAACCAACTGCGTAAACATACAACATCCAAATTTAATACAAAATTATATACCTCATTATATGCTGGTCCAGTATTATAGCCGGAAGTTAGCTGTCGTGATTCAAGGGATGCATCTTGCGACGACAGAAGCGAGTTTTGCTCATCAAATGAGCCCGCCACACCACCTGCAAACCCAGATGCTCCATACGAGCCTGTTAGTCCAGTTGAGCCCTGGGAACCTGAAAATCCGATAGAGCCCTGGGAACTGGCAAATCCCGTAGAGCCCTGGGAACTGGCAAATCCCGTAGAGCCCTGGGAACCTGCATATCCGGTAGAGCCCTGGGTACCAGCAAATCCAGTAGAGCCTTGGGTACTGGCAAATCCGGCAGAGCCCTGGGAACCTGCATATCCGGTAGAGCCCTGGGAACCTGCATATCCGGTAGAGCCCCGGGAACCTGTATATCCGGCAGAGCCCTGGGAACCTGTAAATCCAGTAGAGCCCTGGGAACCGGCCAGGTTGGTGCCAGTGAATGGCACAGGACCATAGGCAGTGTTGGCTCCCCCGAAGGAGCCAGCTAGTCCCACGCCGCCGGCCGATGCGCTGCCAAAACCAACATTTATGACCTCATTAGAGGATTTGTAAGCTGACGAGGATTCTGATGAGAAACTTGAGGACTCTGATGAGTGAGAAGATGAACCAAAGCTCTGTCTAGGTGCAGTGTAGGATGGTACAGGTGTACCGTAGGTTGGTTTAGGTGGAGTGTAAGAGGGTACAGACGTACCGTAGGTTGGTTTGGGTGGAGCATAGGTCGGTATAGGTGGGGTGTAAGATGGTGTAGGAGTACCGTAGGTCGGTTTAGGTGGTGTATAGGATGGTTGAGGTGGAACGTAGGTCGGTTTAGGCGTTCCATAGGTCGGTTTAGGTGGGGTATAGGATGGTTGAGGTGGAACATAGGTCGGTTTAGGCGTTCCATAGGTCGGTTTAGGTGGTGTATAGGATGGTTGTGGCGGAACGTAGGTCGGTTTAGGTGAATAGGATGGTTGAGGTGGAACGTAGGTCGGTTTAGGCGTTCCATAGGTTGGTTTAGGTGGTGTATAGGATGGTTGAGGTGGAACGTAGGTCGGTTTAGGTGAATAGGATGGTTGAGGTGGAACGTAGGTCGGTTTAGGTGTTCCATAGGTCGGTTTTGGTGGTGTATAGGATGGTTGAGGCGGAACGTAGGTCGGTTTAGGTGGTGCATAGGATGGTTGAGGTGGAACGTAGGTCGGTTTAGGCGTTCCATAGGTTGGTTTAGGTGGTGTATAGGATGGTTGAGGTGGAACGTAGGTCGGTTTAGGTGAATAGGATGGTTGAGGTGGAACGTAGGTCGGTTTAGGTGTTCCATAGGTTGGTTTAGGTGGTGTATAGGATGGTTGAGGTGGAACGTAGGTCGGTTTAGGTGAATAGGATGGTTGAGGTGGAACGTAGGTCGGTTTAGGTGTTCCATAGGTTGGTTTAGGTGGGGTATAGGATGGTTGAGGTGGAACGTAGGTCGGTTTAGGTGAATAGGATGGTTGAGGTGGAACGTAGGTCGGTTTAGGTGTTCCATAGGTTGGTTTAGGTGGGGTATAGGATGGTTGAGGTGGAACGTAGGTCGGTTTAGGTGAATAGGATGGTTGAGGTGGAACGTAGGTCGGTTTAGGCGTTCCATAGGTTGGTTTAGGTGGTGTATAGGATGGTTGAGGTGGAACATAGGTCGGTTTAGGCGTTCCATAGGTCGGTTTAGGTGGTGTATAGGATGGTTGAGGTGGAACGTAGGTCGGTTTAGGCGTTCCATAGGTTGGTTTAGGTGGTGTATAGGATGGTTGAGGTGGAACGTAGGTCGGTTTAGGTGGTGCATAGGATGGTTGAGGTGGAACGTAGGTCGGTTTAGGTGGTGTATAGGATGGTTGAGGTGGAACGTAGGTAGGTTTAGGTGGTGTATAAGATGGTTGAGGCGGAACGTAGGTAGGTTTAGGCGTACCGTAGGTCGGTTTTGGTGGTGTATAGGATGGTTTAGGTGGAACGTAGGTTGGTTTTGTTGGTGTATAGGATGGTGTAGTTACGCCATATGGCGGAGGATCGTAAGACGGCCCAGGACTTGGTTGGCCGAAATCAGAGTCAATAGAGGGTAAACCGAAAGCTAGGCCGGCTAGAGCATCGTCAGGAGCGAGACCCACTGGTGGAAGGTATCCCGTGTCAGGCTCCGTGTAGGTGGGCCGGATCTGGTCTAGGTCCTCGCCTGGGAGGCCGAATGACTTGAACGGTGCATCGTAGGTGTACCCATCCTTGGTCTGAGGCTCCGGCTCTGCCCCAGCGTCCGGTGATGGACCAGCCAGCCCCAGGACACTCACCACCGCCCCACTCAACACTACCACCTGCAACACAACACTGTCACTTGCACCACATCACTATCACCTGCACCACATCACTATCACCTGCACCACATCACTATCACCTGCACCACATCACTATCACCTGCACCACATCACTATCACCTGCACCACATCACTATCACCTGCACCACATCACTATCACCTTCACCACATCACTACCACCTGCACCACATCACTACCACCTGCACCACATCACTACCACCTTCACCACATCACTACCACCTTCACCACATCACTATCACCTTCACCACATCACTACCACCTGCACCACATCACCCTCACTTGTAACACTGTACTATTTTTTCACAACAAAACACAAAATGCAGCGCAATGCTACAAATCGTTGCATGCACTTGTAATTAATTCTTTATGTTACCAGCTAAACTACAACTGAAATCAGCTGACGCTTTGCACTGTAGGAAAGAAGAGACTAGATTTCTGATCATATATCACTAATAATGTAAATAATTAACATCTCTATCTTATATTACCTATTAGAAAGATAAATATTGTTAGCATACATGAAGATGTTAATTAGAAGAATTTTGGTCATGGTAGAATCTTACCTTTTATCTTGTAATATTGTGCTGGTTATATATGAGACTGTGCATTCACATCATCTTAGGTACTGAAAGACCTGTTTACCTCAGTAATAGCTAAATAACTGTCGTAATTAGAAAACGGACTTATATTAATACTGTAATCTGCTTCATGTTCTGTTTCCTCAAAGAAACGAAGCTTTCGCATGAAGCCCTTTAGAATTATTTGGTCCAATTTAAGAGATCAACTAACGCGCAAATCTAAGCAGTGAATGTATCTATATATTAATAACTAAAATAATATTTACTTTTATACACACTAAAAAGAAATGGGGTAAAACTAAAAAAAAAATATGAAATCGAGCTGATTTTTAGAAACACTCGCGTACAAAATATGTAAACATTTAGTTATCTGATAAGATAAAAGTTGGTAAATTATTTCTTCCAGTGTTTATATATTTTTTTTTAATATTACAATATTTAGCCAAAGTTGGTACTCAACAATGTATATGTCTCAGAATGTTTGGTAATATGTTTATTGTTTGTGATGTGTGTGTATGTATGTATTAACACGATGTACTGAACGAGGTGAGAATAGCTTGAGCTACCTCATCCCTTTGTGTGTATTTTACCTCAATAAACTTATTTCAATTTCACAATGTATAATCCAGGTGAGGAAAACTTTAATTTCAGAATAAAGCTTCTCAGACGTTTTAGGATAATTAGAGATTAAAGGAATGGGGAAATAGAGCGGTAACCTACGTCACACGATGGCTGCGGCAAATCATATTTACATATCTAAAAAAATATTTGCTTTCCTAAAAAAAAAAAAACTTAGTTACAGCATAGCCCTCAATTCATTGATTAATGATTAACATAGTAACTGAGAGAATAAACATTAGGTTGACCAGACCACACACTAGAAGGTGAAGGGACGACGACGTTTCGGTCCGTCCTGGACCATTGTCAAGTCGATTGTGATAGCTAAATCGACAATCGACTTGAGAATGGTCCAGGACGGACCGAAACGTCGTCGTCCCTTCACCTTCTAGTGTGTGGTTTGGTCAACTTACTTTAACAACGTTATTGTGACTCATCGCCTGAATAAACATTAGGTTAACATTATACATATATTTTAAGAAAGGTACACATCTCGTAAGTTCTTGAAAGCTAAGGCCATGGAAGTAGCGGTGAAACTTAGAGACTGATGCAACTTTATAGCTGGAGGCTAATGACTCGAGCGTTGATGTGAGTCAGCTGTATTGCTCAGACAAACGTCAAGACGTAAGGTCAGGGCATTCTTCAAACGAACGTCGATTGAGATCTTCAAAGTGCCAAAGTAAATGAAGAAATAACGCATTTTCAAAATATTCGAAGAAAAGTGAAAATGTTTATGCTAAGATTAAGCTTTAGATGAAGACAGTGAATAGTGTAAGTCTCCGTCATAAGAGATCCGTTCATCTATAGTACTTATCCTAGGGCCAAGAATTCTTTTCTATTAGAATATTCAACGAAGAAACAAAAGTTTGATCATTGTTGTAAAGGATAAAAAATAAAAAGACCTGTGACAACAGGTAGATTACGAACCGAAGATATCAGACCAACAATAGCCAATATGTGTGCGACCAGCGGGCTATGTAAATCAATAAACTTTTAAAGAGACAGTAAAGTCTCTTTCAAAAAAGATGCTGTGTCAGCATACAAGGCCGGCTTCAGCCAGCGAGAATGAGCGAGTGTTGATTAGGTTGATGATGAAAACAGACCAATATGGTGTCAGCCCTGTGTGAGAAAGTGGCCTGAGCGCCCTCCTGCGGTTCGCCGTGGGCGTGGCGCCAACTTAACCAGCACTGCTGGTTAAGTTGGCGCCACTGTAAAACAATGTGGCGCCAATGTGTAAAACAATGACGGCAGAAGACGAAGTGAATGCTTTCCCAGCCTTCATCCTCTCTTATATACCCGTCATTACTTGACGTTAGGCAACCCAAACAATGTTCACTGCTGTAAACAATCCAATTACATTATCGTACACAAGTCCCAGTTCTTCTTTCTCATTCTTCCTACACACTTTTTCCTAGCGATAAACATTGGAGTTAGACAACGTTCGCCAACAAGACCCTCTGAAGCTTTCATATTGATATATTCCACACTGATACTTTTCGTAACACAATATGATCGTAGGGTCGCGGCGGACGGAGGCATCAACACGGTCAATCTTCACGGCGTCGTGATCCGCTGGTGTTCGGTCTTCCTCGTATATCCTCCAGCGGTCGGCCGCCTCGGGTAGGAGGGGAGCCAGGGCGGGGAAGTGTCATTATAGAAAATGAGAGTTGCAAAATAAAAAATATATTTCACGCGTGCGCATAAGTTGACACGTATACAGCTATACGAGAAAGTGAGAGCGAGGTCTCGATAACCAAAGGTCTTCGTGTCAGTAAAAAAATATATATTTTTCTCTATTATTCACTGAATTAATCACGAGTTATTTAGTTTGTTCAGTTCAGTAGGGGTTATTTTCCGTTCCACTTCATAGCACTATGATACACTGGCGGCGGTTGAGTCACCTGACGAAGACGGGATTGGCTAGAGGAAGATGTGTGCGTGTTTATGTTGTTGAGATGTTACTGGAGCCATCATATTCTAAGTTAGTGGCGTGTTTTGGCGCAAGCAGGTCCTGTGTCGATGACCTATTACTGGAGCCAGCAGCAGGCCTTCTGAAGTGTTTGTGGCGTACGTTGTATCAGTAAACAGGTCATTTGCGTGACTTGTGACCTGTTTCTAACCCCCCCCCCCCGAAGTGGCAAGGGGAGTTAGGGGACAACAAGTGTGGATCATTTTTGTCGGTGTCTGATTTTGGAAGCAGCCAGAGGATTTGCGTCAGTGAGGAGCAGGTATGTTTATAGGATGGGAGTGGTTTTTGTAGAAGCAGAGCCACGTTATTGTACTCGCAGATAGGAACGAGTCACAGGAGCATGTAGGTCATCAGTCATGGGTGGGGGGGGGGATGGTAATCTTGGAAAGATTACCCGTCGATCCTGTCACTGCTAAAGTAAAAATAACACGTGTTAAAAATGCTAAAAAGAAACTCGCTACCAGGGAGAACATTGATGCAGATATAGTCCCAGGATATAATAATCTCTTGCGAATGTATACAATAATTTGGCCCAAAACCCCCCACCAAAAAGTCTCTCTTAAGGGCGGGGAGGTCGAGCGCGTACCTGCAGGAACCGCATGGTTGACGGCAGAAGACGAAGTGAATGCTTTCCCAGCCTTCATCCTCTCTTATATACCCGTCATTACTTGACGTTAGGCAACCCAAGCACAGTGCTTATGTCCACTTTTCACTTCCACACCGCCGGTGATGTCCGCGCACTCTAGATTTGTTTACAAATTGTTATATGTTGAGAAGGTTGAGAATGTGTTTAGCGCAACAGTAAAATGTGTACTTGGATGAAAAAACGATTCTTCGCGGCAGGGGATCGTATTCCAGGGACCATAGGATTAAGGACCTGCCCGAAACGCTACGCGTACTAGTGGCTGTACAAGAATGTAACAACTCTTGTATATATCTCAAAAAAAAAAAAAGGTATATCTTCGCCAGTCTCCGTCTGTCGGAGTGTTTTTGCCTCAAGGACGAGCTTCGTCCTTGAGGCAACTCGTTCGCTTTCGTTAATATATATATATATATATAATTTGATTTCTACTGGGAAGGAAAATGTCGGCCAGTAGTAACAAATGACATTAATTTAGTAATAAAACATAAAACATTATACCAGAAAAGTTGTAAGATTCGCTTCAATAATGAATACACACTTACATGAGAGAACTTCAAACACGAGTATTATGTAATGTACACTAAGAGGAGAATCACACAAACAGAGAACCCTCGCGGCTGAGTGAATAGCGCTCTGGGATCGTAGTCCAGATGTCCCGGGTTCGATTCCCGGCGGAGGCGGAAACAAATGTGCAGAGTTTCTTTCACTCTGATGTCCTGGTCACCTAGTTGTAAATAAGTACCTGGGAGTTATCTGCTACGGGCTGCTTCCTGGGAATGTGTATGTGTGCGTGGTTCGATATAAATATGTGTAGTAGATATAATACAAAAATTAGATTGGCTAGAAAGGCGGGGTCCAATAGCTAATAGCTCGAATTTGCAGACACAAATAGTAAATACACACACACGCATTTTTTATATATATATATATATATATATATATATATATATATATATATATATATATATATATATATATATATATATATATATATATATATATATATATATATATATATATATATATATATATATATATATATATATATATATATATATATATATATATATATATATATATATATATATATATATATATATATATATATATATATATATATATATATATATATATATATATATATATATATATATATATATATATATATATA